TTTTTTTAAAAAGATAGACTCTTGCTCTGTTACCCAGGCTGGAGTGCAGTGGTTAGATCTCAGCTCATTGTAGCCTCTGCCTCCTGGGTTCAAGCAATTCTCCGTCCTCAGCTTCCGGAGTAGCCGAGATTACAAGCATGTACCACCACACCTCGCTAATTTTTGTATTTTTAGTGGAAATGGGGTTTCACCCTGTTGGCCAGGCTGGTCCGAAACTCCTGACCTCAAGTGATCTGTCCGCCCTGACCTCCCAAAGTGCTGGGATTACAGGTGTGAGTCACCATGCTTGGCCTTCTTTCTTTCTCTTTGGGTCTATGGTCTTTCAGAGGTCACTAGATGTTTCTCAGAGAATCTTCATGAGTTTATTTTTCCTTTTTCGTTCTTTTTTGGTAATTATATTTTAATAAAATTTTAAAGAGAAAAATTTTAAGGAGCACTTAAGTCTTATCCAGGTTAATTCACCAGTTGTTTACATTTTGCCTCATTTGGTTTATCACTTATCCCCCACCCACCACCACATGCGTGAATATAGATATATAAGCATATAATTTTTTTTCTAAATCACTGGTTAATAAATTGGACACCTGTAAACACTTACATGTATTCCCTAAGGACATTCTCTTATATAGCCAAAGTACAGCTATCTCAAAAAAAAGTACCCTATCCAAAAAAAGAGAAGGAGTTTAATTGGCTCGTAATTCTGCAGGCTGTATAAGGATGGCTCCAGCGTCTACTTTTGGTGAGGGTCTCAGGAAGTGTACAGTCACGGCCAAAGGCACCGGGGAGCCAGCATGCCACATGGCAGGAGTGAGCAGGAGAGAGAATGGGGGGAGGTTCCAGGCTCTTAAACAACCAGGTCTCACATGAACTGAGTGAGAACTCATTTATTTCCGAGTGGATGGCACTAAGGCATTCATGAGGGATTCACCCTCATGATCCAGTCACCTCCTACCAGGCCCTACCTCTAAAGCATTGGGGCTCACATTTCAACATGAGATTTGGAGGAGATCTCATCCAAACCATGTCAGTTACCTAATTGATGGTCCATATTCCAGTTTTATTAGTTGTCTCTGTATTGTTGGGTTTTTGTTTGTTTGTTTGGTTTTGAGATAGTCTTTATTGACCAGGCTGGAGTGCAGTGGCATGATCTCAGCTCACTGCATCCTCCACCTCCCAGGTTCAAGCGATTCTCCTGCCTCAGCCTCCTGAGTTGCTGTGCTTACAGGTGCCTGCCACCACGCCTAGCTAAATTTTGTATTTTCTTAGAGACGGGGTTTAACCATATTGGCCAGGCTGGTCTCGAATTCCTGACCTCAGGTGATCTGCCCGCATAGGCCCCTCAGAGTGCTAGGATTACAGGTGTGAGCCACTGCACACGGCCCCCAGTAAGTTTTGTATTTTTATAGCTATTTTCCTCCTCCTAGGATCCAGTCCAGGTCATACATGGCATCTAGCTGTCATGTCTCTTTAGTTTCTCTCAGTCTCCTCAGCTCTTTCCTTTGTCTTTCTTGTCTTTAATATTTAAATAGCATAGCCCAATAATTTTGTAGAATGTATTCAGTTTGAGTTTGTCTAATGTTTCCTTGTGAGTAGATTCAGCATTTTTGGCAGGAAAATCACAGAATGATGATGGTCTTTTTAGGGCATGATACTAGAAAGTACACAAGATCACTTTACACCAATATTAGTGATTTTATTTTTTCATCACTTGATTAAGGTGATGTCCAGTAGGCTTCTCCACTTTAGAATTACTGTTTCTTGGATTTCTCTTGTTGCTTGCTGACTGAACTAAAGACAGCCACTGATTAATTAGGCCTTGGATGTATTTTACGTTCTTTGTGCAGCTCGAGATGCTGCTGTGCAGAAGATTGAAACTATTATCAAGGAACAGTTTGCTCTTGAAATGAAGAATAAGGAACATGAAATTGAAGTCATTGACCAGGTATAATGATGATAAATTGAAAAAGACACCAAAGCTATTGAAAAAAATTTATATATGATCAAAAAATAATCTATCGAGGTGGAGTCGTAGTTTGCTTAAACTCTTTGCTGTGTGTGTTTGTTTTTAATAGCTTTCTTTTGGGGAGAGAACTTACGTTTTAAGTAATGCAATTGCAGAAAGACTTGAAAAAATATTACCTGGAATTCCATCCAAAAAGATAATCTCCTGATAGCACAGCACGGTGACTACAGTCAACAACTTATTGCACATTTAAAAATAATTCACAGAGTACAATTGGATTGTTTGTAACATAAAGAAAGGATAAATGCTTGAGGCGATGGGTATCCCATTCACCCTGATATGAGTATTATGCATTGTATGTCTTCATCAAAATATCTCGTGAATCCCATAAACATGTACACTATGTACTCAAAACAATTAAAAATAGAAAGTTTTTTTTAAAAAAGATAATCCCTCTTTACTGTTGTGCTCAATGACTTTGTGGATTTTTCTCAGTGAATATATTACATGTAAATGTACATATTCATTGAAACACTTTTTTGCTATTCTCTTAAATCTTTGCGAATCTGTTGGATGGAAAGGTCACTTTTATTTGTTTTTCCTTTGATAGAGAAGTTGAGCTGTTTTTTGGTCATTCACATTTCTTTTTTGTGAATTGTTTGTACATCTCTTTTATAATTGCCGTTTTTTAAAGTAATGAGTTAACATTTGTGTTTAGCGACTGATTGAAGCAAGAAGAATGATGGATAAACTCCGTGCCTGCATTGTAGCAAACTACTATGCTTCTGCAGGTCTTCTAAAAGTTTCTGAGGTAAGCATTCCTCACATTCAGTCATTTTCCAGCCACCCATATATTGCCCAGGCTGGAGTGCGGTGGTACAATCTTGGCTCACTGCAACTTCCGCCTTCTGGATTCAAGTGATTCTCCTGCCTCAGCCTCCTAAGTAGCTGGTATTACAGATGTGCACCACCGTGCCCAGCTTATTTTTGTATTTTTAGTAGAGATGGGGGTCTCACCATTTTGGCCAGGCTGGTCCTCAACTCCTGACATCAGGTGATCCGCCCACCGTGGCCTCCCAAAGTGTTCGGATTACAAGCATGAGCCACTGAGTCTGGCCTGAAACATTTCTTACACAGACCTTCAGCATCCAAGAAGCCTAGCCCACCTTCCTGGGCATATACATAGACCATACATAGACTGTCACTGTGTTCAACCACAGTCCTTCAGTCGCACCTTTCTGCATTGTCAATAACCCTAAGTAACATTTTTTCCTCTTAATTTGTCTTCTCCTAATTGTTAGCATTATGCTAGGCTTTGCAGATATAAAGATGACTGAGACCTCATTGCAACTGGCCTTAGTGCCTCTTCACTTGAGTGTGGCCAGCTTTGGAGTAAGTTGTAAATTGATTGAGTTTCTTTGATCTTTTACTCCAGTGAATGGCAGTTTTTAGTTTCAGATTGACCCTGCTTAATGAGCCCTGAGTTCTCCTTCTTTTTTCTTTCTTTTTTTTTTAAATAGAGAGGTCTCACCATGTTGCCAGGCTGGAATGCAGTGGCTGATCATAACCACGATCTAGTTCACTGCAGCCTTCAGCTCCCAGCTCAAGCAGTCCTCTTGCCTCGGCCTTCTGAGTAGATGGGACTACAGTTTTGTTTCTCGAAATTTTTCTTCAAAATTCTCTAAATTTTTAAAAATTTAAAGTGGTCCTCCTGCCTCTTTTCCTCCATGATAGTGACTTTTCGAAGAGACCAGGACGTTTATTAATGTCTCAGATTTTGGATTTATTCTTTTCCTTGAATTACTTTTTCATCCTCTCTATTTTCTTGTAAACTGGAAGTCAAGTCTAAAGGCTTGGTTATTAATGGATTCGGGTTAAATATTTTGGCAAGAATACTTCATGGTGATACTGTGTGCTGGATATTCTAGCACATCAGCAGGCACATGGTTCCAGGTTGTCCTGCTGATGATACTGAGTTTGACCACTTGGTTAATGTGATTACCACTGGATTATTCCAATTATAAAGGAATGTTTTTTCCTAATTTAGTTTTTGACGAGCAAATGAAAAATAAATATCTGCTCTTTTATCCTAGTAATCTGTCTAAATTCAGGCACAGGGGTTAGGATTGACCTGAAATAGGAGTATTTCTTCCTATTTGATATTTTGTCAATTTCAAATTTCAGCATAATTTTCGTTTGTTCTTTTTTTTTTTTGAGGTGGAATTTCCCTCTTGTTGCCCAGGCTGGAGTGCAGTGGCATGATCTTGGCTCACTGTAAATTTCACCTTCCGGGTTCAAGTGATTCTCCTGCCTCAGCCTCCCGAGTAGCTGGGGTTACAGGCATGTGCCACCACGCCCAGCTAATTTTGTATTTTTAGTAGAGATGGGGTTTCTCCACGTTGGTCAGGCTGGTCTCGAACTCCTGACCTCTGCCCACCTATTCCTCCCAAAGTGCTGGGATTACAGGTGTGAGCCACCGTGCCCAGCCTCTTTTTTCTCTTTTTATTTTCTTTTTCCTAAGTGTTTTCAACTAGAATTAGTCTCAGCTGAATCATCTCTGAAGCAGTGCTGGCTCACTGGGAACCAGGGAAGGGCTGGAGGGTGACAGTGAATGGTGCTTGTCATGTTTAGTTAGGCCTTCATGTTACCCTTTGTGCCTGTAGGCTGTTCCTGATGATGTCCTGTAGAAACTAGAGCATTGTTTGAGTTGAATTTTAAATGGTAGACAGCTGCTGCTTTTAGTGTGGCACAGTTTCCAGGATGCATGTTAGAGTCGTATTTGTTTTCCTAGGGCTACCATAACAAATTAGCCCAAGCTTTGTGATGTAAAAAGACAGGTTTATCATCTCATCATTCTGAAGTCTAGAAGTCCAAAATCAAGGTGTCAGCAGGGCAGTGGTCCCTCTGAAGGCTCCGGGGAAGAATCTTCCTTGCCTCTTCCTAGCTTCTGAAGGTTGCTGGCAACCCTTAGTGTTACCCAGCTGTAATTTCTGCCTCTGTCGTGATGTGGCTCTTTCCTGCTGGGCATGTCTTCTCTGTGTGTCTCTGTCCAAGTTTCCCTCTTATTTATTTATTTATTTTTTGAAACAGCCTTACTCTGTCGCCCAGGCAGGAGTGCAGTGACACAGTCTCAGCTCACTGCAAATTCCGCCTTCCAGGTTCAAGTGATTCTTCTGCTTCAGCCTCCTGAGTAGCTGGGATTACAGGTGCATGCCAGCATGCCCAGCTAAGTTTTGTATTTTTAGTAGAGACAGGGTTTCACCATGTTAGTCAGGCTGGTCTCAAACTTCTGATCTTGTGATCCACCAGCCTTGGCTTCACAAAATGCTGGTATTACAGGCGTGAGCAGCCGCAGCTGGCCACAAGTTTCCCTTTTCTTATAAGTGAAGAGGACTTCGTTGACTTCATCATAACGACCCTATCTTTGAAATGTTAGCAGTTCTGATCTGTGCTGTTTGATAGTCTAGACATGTGCTGATTTTATCCTCTTCTGTTCTGATTAGGATTTATTTAAGGATATTTAGGAATGCTTTTGTCTCTTGTGATCAACCGTTTAATTATTTTTAGTTTTCAGTGGCAAAACGTATTTATAGCTCTGAAAAACTTTATTACTGAAATTCAACAACTTTGTTGCTTTGAAACAGTAGCTTCTGCCTCTTTCTCACTGAAACCATTGGTTTAATAACAGTTTTTAAAAGGTAGACTTCCTAGGAACATAACCTCAGTGTTATCACATTGTAACGGAATATATTTTGCATACAAGTATCTAAGATGCAGAAAAATTCCATATATGTCTGTACTAAACTGAAGGCAAACTTTATACATCAATATTAATCTTTCAAAAATATTCTATATTGCATTTTACTCCTATGTGGGGACCATGTTTTTTGTATGTATACACACACAGACACACACACACACACACACACACACACACAGCTTTTAAAAAATGTTTTATATTTCTTTCAGGGATATTTTATTTAGAGCAGTTGATGTATTCGTGTAAAGCAATGTGAGACTTTTAAAGTCAGATTTTATTTTCTGTGTTAACTTGTATTACTTCTCATTTACCTTCAGAATACCCTATATCTCTAGCTGTTAGTGTTAGAAACTTTATATAATTATTTATCATTCTAATTTTTGTTTTGTTGGTTCAGGCCATGCTGAGGAGTTGGGATTTCATTTTATGGGTATGGGGAGATTTTGAAGGATTTTAAGCATTGATCGTGTACTGGATAAGATTTTGGAGAGATCAGATTTTGCCTGCTTTTGATGGATTTGATTTAAAATTTGTTTGCTTGCTTGCTTTTTCTGTAGGGATCAAAGACATGTGATACAATGGTTTTTAATCATCCCGCTATCAAGAAATTTTTGGAATCACCGTCTAGATCATCATCTCCTGCCAATCAGAGAGCAGAAACACCATCAGCCAATCATTCAGAAAGTGATTCTTTATCTCAGCACAATGACTTCTTATCTGACAAAGATAATAACAGCAACATGGATATAGAGGAAAGACTCTCAAACAACATGGAGCAGAGACCAAGCCGAAATCCCGGAAGGGTACGTGGTTGGGTGGATGTGGGAGGGAGCTACAGGAGAAGGGAGCTAGTATTTACTAAAGTATGCGCCTGTTTGCTCACTGAACTATCACAGGAATCCTAGGAAATAGGTTGTTTTCCTTTTATAGTGGGGAAACCAAATCTTTTTTTTTTTTTTTTTTTTGAGACGGAGTTTTTTGTATACATTTGGTGGGGAGGAGGATTTGG